CCCCAAAACCCCAAAACCCCAAAACCCCAAAACCCCGATATTTTGAGAATTAATTGAATAATTGGTTTTTGAGGGATTTATTGGGAAAATGTTTGATGAGATTTCAGGAGGAGCTGAAAGAAATGCAAATTGAAGAAGATCAGTGGTGGAGAAGAGTCTCTTAGATGATCAAGAGGTTCTTGGGAATCAGAGCTTTATTGGATTGCTTCAAGCAATGACAGAGTTAGCTAAAAGAGCTATCCCTGCTTTCTTTGGAGCGGTTTTCAAGCATCTTATTGATATCTCAAATATCTTCTTTGCTGGTAAAATTGCAAGCTTTGCAGTTGACCAAGAGATCTACAATGCGTCAGATATAATTGCTGGAGTTGGTCTGGGGATCCTCTGTTATAACGTGTTTATTTTCTCAGTAGCATGGGGAATGTCAAGCACTATTGACACACTAACATCACAAGCATTTGGAAGTCAGAAATACCATCTTTGTGGTTACTATTTGAACAGATACAGAGTGGTTTCTACTGTGCTCTTCTTGTTTCAATGCATTCTATTGCTAAACATTGGAGATATTTTAATTATGATTGGGCAAGCTGAGATTTCTTGAAGAGTGTGCCAAATATTTATAAAGTACCAGCTAATTGGTCTTTTCTGATCAGTTCAGTTTGAAGGTCTAAGAAGATACTTAATAGCCCAAGGAGTTTACAATATGATAGTCTATATCCAATGCATAAGTTTCTTTCTCCATGTAGGTATGCTCTCAATAATTAGTTACAATTTCGGACTGGAAGTCGAGTCTATTTCCTACATAAACTTGCTAACAAATATTATCAGTCTGGTTCTTTTAACTCTGTTCTGAATGAAAACATCAAAGATTCATAGAGAAGGATGGCATTATGAATTAGGCTCATTCGAAGACCTGACTCAGTTTATAAACCTTGCTGTCCCATCCACAATGATGAGATGTCTGGAATATTGGGTGTGAGAGCTTATAATGATCTTCTCAGGATGGTGTGGAGTTAAAGATCAGGCTGCAGCAATTGCTATTTTCAATGTATTTTCAGCACTTTATAGACTCATTTCAGGGATCTCCATGGCTACCTCAAACCTTGTAGGAAATTGCTTGGGCAATAACGATGCTAAAAATGCAAAGCAGTATGCACTGGCATCTCTCTGAGTGACCTTTGTACCTATAATCCTCTGAACAAACTTCATGTATTTCTGTAGGTATCAAATAATGAGTTTCTCAAGCGATCAAGAAGTGATAGAGATAGGTGCTTCTCTGATGATCTTTTTTGTTCTGATCTGTCCATCAGACTTCATTCAAGGATCACAATTTGGAGTGCTCACAGGAATGGGATACCAAAAGTATGGAAGTATGATAAATATCCTATCATATTTTCTGTTCCTCATCCCTCTAGCATATGTCCTAGGATTTGTATATGGGTATGGGACTACTGGGATCTTTGGAGCTTGGGTCTTAGGAATTCTTGTATGAGCTATTCTGGTGACCTCAACTGTATTCTTGGCTGATTGGGATCACCTTACAAGGAAAATCCAGGAAAGACTGTCTGCTACCTTTTAATAACATCTCTGATATTTCAGGATTTAATTTAGATTTTGGGGTTTTGGGGTTTTGGGGTTTTGGGGTTTTGGGGTTTTGGGG